AGGAGAGAAACCATACAAATGTGAGGAATGTGGGAAATGTTTTGCTTCAAATACACTGGTCAAAAGGCATAAGAGAATCCATACTGGAGAGAAACCGTACAAATGCGAGGAGTGTGGCAAATGTTTTGCTTCAAATACACTGGTCAAAAGGCATAAGAGAATCCACACTGGAGAGAAACCGTACAAATGTGAGGAGTGTGGGAAATGTTTTTGTTGGAATTCACAGTTTGTACGGCATAAGAGAATCCACGTAGGAGAGAAACTGTACCAATGCCAAGAGGGTGGGAAATGTTTTGCTCTCAGCACACAGCTTGTAAGGCATAAGAAAATCCACACAAAAGAGAAACCATACCAATGCCAGGAGTGTGGGAAATGCTTTGCCAGCAATTCGGAGCTTGTTATTCATAAGAGAATCCACACAGGAGAGAAACCGTACAAATGTGAGGAGTGTGGGAAATGTTTTTGTTGGAATTCACAGCTTGTACGGCATAAGAGAATCCACATAGGAGAGAAACTTTACCAATGCCAGGAGTGTAGGAAATGTTTTGCTCTCAGCACACAGCTTGTAAGGCATAAGAAAATCCACACAAAAGAGAAACCATACCAATGCCAGGAGTGTGGGAAATGCTTTGCCAGCAATTCGGAGCTTGTTATTCATAAGAGAATCCACACAGGAGAGAAACCGTACAAATGCCTTGAATGTGGGAAATGTTTTCCATGGAATTCACAACTTTTAAGACTTAAGAGAATCCACATTGGAGAGAAACTGTACCAATGCCAACAATGTGGGAAATGTTTTGCTCTCTGCTCACAGCTTGTGAGCCATAAGAGAATCCACACAGGAGAAAAACCATACAAATGCCAGCAGTGTGGGAAATGTTTTGCCTGTAGTTCACACCTTGTGCTGCAGTTCGCACCTTGTGAAGCATAAAAGGGTCCACACAAAAGAGAAAGCCTACAAATGCCAGGAGTGTGGCAAATGTTTTGCTCAGAATTCACATCTTGTGAGGCATAAGAGTGTCCACACAGGAGAGAAACCATACCGATGTCAGGAGTGTGGGAAATGTTTTACTCGGAATTCACTGCTTGTGACTCATAAGAGAATCCACACGGGACAAAAACCACACAAATGTGAGGACTGTGGGAAATGTTTTGCTAACAGCTCATATCTTGTAAGCCATAAGAGAATCCACACAGGAGATAAACCATACAAATGTCAGGAGTGTGGGAAATGTTTTGGTTCAAATTCACTGCTCAAGAGTCATAACAAAATCCACACAGGTGAGAAACCATACAAATGCCAGGAATGTGGAAAATGTTTTACACGCAATTTACAGCTTGCACGTCATAAGATGATCCACACAGCAGAGAAACCATACAGATGTGAGGAATGTGGGAAATGTTTCGCTTCAAATACACTGGTCAAAAGTCATAAGAGAATCCACACAGGAGAGAAACCGTACAAATGTGAGGAGTGTGGGAAATGTTTTTGTTGGAATTCACAGCTTGTACGGCATAAGAGAATCCACATAGGAGAGAAACTTTACCAATGCCAGGAGTGTAGGAAATGTTTTGCTCTCAGCACACAGCTTGTAAGGCATAAGAAAATCCACACAAAAGAGAAACCATACCAATGCCAGGAGTGTGGGAAATGCTTTGCCAGCAATTCGGAGCTTGTTATTCATAAGAGAATCCACACAGGAGAGAAACCGTACCAATGCCAAGAGTGTGGAAAATGTTTTGCTCGCCATTCACAGCTTGTTAGTCATAAGAGAGTCCACACAGGAGAGAAACCATACAAATGTGAGGAATGCGGGAATTTTTTTGCTTGGAGGTCACAACTTGTGAGTCATAAGAAAGTCCATACAATATTGAAACCGTACAAATCCCAGGAGAGTGAGAGCAGTGAAGGTCAAGAGGGAGCCAACAACACTTGCATGTAGGTTCAATGATTTTAAAATCTGAAACCACTGTTTGGAATTTTTTCTCTAGGGCTGCATTTAAAATGTTTGCTCCTTCTTCTGTGTTTCCACCGAAATATTTCCAGAAAGCCGTCATATTCTTTCTTAAACTTTTCCTCACTGGAATAAACATACTGCATTCCTCAAGCTGCTTTTCACAAGACTGTCACTTTCCCGGGGGTTTCAAGAGCAAAGTCCGATAAGGCAGTCCATTGTCAGAAGTTCAGAGAATGCACAGCCGATATCAAAATCACAAAGCCAAATCACAAACCGTAATCCGAGGTCAGGGTCCAAAGCCAAATCACCCAACGTAGTGCAGGGTCAGAGTCCAAAGCCAAGGGTCCAAAGAACAAGGTTCAAGGGAGTCAGGAGCATGGATGCGAGCCAGAGGGTTGACTTGTTGCTTCCACGAGCTTCCAGCCTTCTGGGCGCTGCTTATATGGTAAAAACAGTCATTGAACTTCTGGAAGCCTTTTCATCCTGTCAGAACTCAGGGCTAGTTGACCAGATGTTTCTGCGGACAGCCTTCCGGTGATCCTCTGGCCTTTTTGTCATAAGTTTTCGCTGAAGCCTGGCCCTCACCCTGTCTACTCGGGGAGGAGAATCTGGGTGCAATTCAGCTGTTTGTGTTTCTAATCCAGTGATGGTGAACCTTTTTGAGCCCAAGTGCCCAAACTGCAATACAAGATCAGCTTATTTATTTCAAAGTGCCAAAACTGCAAATAAAAACCGAATGCTGAGGTTTTAGTTAGAAAAAACAACTGCTCCTGCACTGCAAGGGTTAAATGCTTGACTCCCCCCCCAATGGGCGTTATTAACAAATAAATACTTACTGGTCCTCCAGT